CCCCAAAACCCCAAAACCCCAAAACCCCGTGTTGATTTCATTTGTAATAAACAAGAAGATGTTAAATAAATTGAATTATAGTTAAGACAAGTCAGTAATAGAATTCTAATCAATAAATAAACTAATTCACTCAGAATTATTGAGCAATGATGTCTTTCCAATAAAAGTTATATGTATAGATTGCAATTCAATATCTCGATAACTAATAATATTTTTGGATCATCAATAAGCAATCATCCCTTTAAGAAAATCTATGCATTTCGAATAGTTTTCTTTGTTAGAGCAGATTTTATTCTAATTTTCAATTTGGCTTGAGGTTTAGACATTATCAATATAGTCTTTAGTAATATGCTTGAATGCAGGCCATTAAGTTATAAAACATAATCCTTTAAAGGAGTAGTGATGGATAGATGTATCAATTTCATTAATTATTTTTTCAACTTCTGAATCATCATCGATTGCTTTCTTCATTTTATCTGGGTAAAATAAAGATCCAAGGAAAAACACAAGTTCAATATACAAAGTATGTTTATCAGAGGCTGTATCGTCGCTTGAAATAGTAATTTATTATAAGGAAGCTGGAAATTATTTTTATACATAGCTCTGAATTGCTTAAAGATAATATTTTTTCTCTTTATATCTTGACACATTAAAGAATTTACTTTAATCTTTAAATTATTGCAGATATGTTCTCCTTATCTCTCTTACTATAGTTTTAAGTACTACATCTTTTCTTTATACTTATTTTAAATGGATTTTCCTGTTTATATTAAGTAGTTCAAATTATTCTTTACATTGAAAGTTCATGTAAGTTTTCTTTATCTAACTTAAAATGGGTTCAATATCAATAGAAATGTTTTAATCGTCACTAATAATGCCAGATTCCTTGCTTAGCTAATCTTTACCTTTGATTTTTTAATGATTTATTTGATTGTCAAAGTAGTTTATTGCTTGTACAAATTAAGAATTTATTCCTCTATCAATATTAGTAGTAATTTTTGTATTTTCTACAAAAATATGGTGTTGTTATCCAAAACTTATCATATCTTTTTTAAACAATTGATTGAATGATGAATAAGTTGGTTTTTTAGACAACTCTGAAGAAATAGGATTATTGTTAAACAAGCTTAACTAAGAATTCTCAAGTGATTATTAAGTTGATATGTCCATATCTATTGACTAATATTCTCCATGATAGTTGATAATCTAGAGATCATCTTCGTCTTAAATGGTATTGCTGGGGGATGGTAGTATCTCATTTTAACATTTCAAAAATTTTTCGATAGGGTCCATCTGATTTTTCTTAGCAACTTTTGGTTTTTTCGCTTTAGGATTGAGTAATCTATCAATAATTGAATCAAAAGCACTTGAATCTAAAGAGTTCGCCATTATAGTATTATTATTTTAAAGATATATTTTTTACCTCTTGGAATAAATATAAACTGACAATTAATTAAAGGCTTTCCATTTAATATGGGAAATAGATAAATCTTTATTTAATTTGTTATTTGATAATCCAAAATTTTTGAAACTTATGTTCTTTGGGGTTTTGGGGTTTTGGGGTTTTGGGG